AAAATAGCTAAGATTTTAATGGTCGCCTTCACAAAAAATGAATCAGTTTTACAGATGAAAGTAGTGTTCTTTATCCATATCTTGGGGGAATTCTTTAATACTGTGTGGTTTAATGAAACAATTCAGCAATACTTCCAGTGTCTTTCAAAATTATTGCTTCGTTATCTTCATCTGATGTAATCATCAGAATCTGTCCACTAGTATCAAGACTTTTCTGACTGTAACTGTCTTAACCCCTTGTCAGTTGGAGTCAGAACTTCCCCACTATCCAGCAAAAATGTAGTAGCCCTAGTTAGCCAAGAGATCCTGTCTCCCTGGCACCAAATGACCTAGGTTAATTGACTATTTGTGTGTGTGCTCTTTGATTTTAAGTGATAACTAACTATCTTTTAGATTGCATTATTTAACTATTAACCCCTCTAACATATCCTATGCAAGTCTAACAAAAGAGAGCAGTTTTAATTATTTATTTAATAATAATTTAATTATTATTTTTAAAATATTTTAGGAAAAGGTACAATCTAGTGGGCACTCTGACACTTGGTATTTGTATGTTCTTTTGTATAATAAATGCAAGTTGATTTCTTGATAAGATGACGTTTTCTAAGCTACTTTGTAGAAATATTTTTCACTGCCACCAGCACATTTGTATCCTTCTGACTGGAGTATTTTTAGACTTTGGGGGACATTAAAACACATTTTATTTTGTCTGAATTAACCAGGTTGATATTTAGAACAAGAGATTAGTTCCTTCAGATTGTTTCACAGTTTGAACCTTTTATTGTTCTTTGCTCTGTGCGGTTTCCAGTGTTGTTTGAGACAATTACCACACTAATACGGTTTTACAATAATGATTGGCTGGGGAGATGCCAAATACCTAAATGGTCTAATTACATACAGATTGTATTGTTTATTAAAAAGTATAAAGTGCAAAATTTCCTTGGCAGCGATCTCCATATTAATTATGGGGTTTTCCCCTTGGGAACAATGGCTGTATGCCAGGGGTGGCCAAACTGTGGCTCATGAGCCACATGCGACTCTTTTACCATTAAAGTGTGGCTTGCAAACCTCCTTTGCCCCCTGCCCCCATTCTCCACCTATCAGAGTGGGTGGAGGGAGCTCGGGACCTCTGCCTTGCAATGGGGTGGGTTGTAGGAACTTCTGTCCAGTAGAGAGGAGGGTCTCAGGGCTTCAGCCCTGCAAGGTGCACATGCCAGAGCTTGGAGCTTCAGCAGGAGTTGGGCTGAAACCCTGGCTCCTGGCAGGTGTGCTCCGGCGCTCTGAAGATTGTCGTATGCAGCTCGGAGGGCCAGTAAGTTTGGCCACTCCTGCTATGTGCTTTATTGTAGTGTTCAAAGGATTTTAGTTGTTTCAATATTACTCTCTTCCTGTGTTGCCATCCTGTTATAAGATTGATCTGTATGTTTGAGGCTCTAAGGGAGACATCTTCACATCAAAAACAAAAGCTGTAGATAATGTTTTGTTGCTTTGGCCAATGATAACAATCACATATCTATACTTAAAACCTCCTGAAATATAACTGTATGAAACTGCATGTAACATTAAGGCAGGCTTACAAGTGGAAGTAATGTTAGTTATCTTGTATTTGGTAAGTATCGCTAAAAGGCCTTCCTACTTAGCATATCCCTACAGTAGTAACTAATGCAATAACCAGCTTGTTATTAGTGTTACTATTTTTAATTCACTCCATTACATGGCTTTCTGTTGCAGTACTTAAAGCCAGAGTAACTTGGCAGTCGTCTACTTTTCGATTGTCACTGTATGTCATATAATAACACAAAGTTTGTGGATCTGAGAGCTAGTATCAAAAGAAGGATGGATTGTAATGCACCCCAGGTTTTAAATCACATGAATGTATCAGATAGTGGGTGTTGGCTGTAGAAGGATCAACAAAGTTGTTAGAAATGGCTGGCAAAGAGACATGGCCAAAGTGGGATGTTCTGATTCAGTAGCCCTCTCAGTAGACACACTGGCAGGGCTTTTTAGAACACCTAGAAAGGTTGAAAGCTGAATCCCTTCTCGAGCCTCAGGGGCTGGCTGGCTCATTTACATCTCCCTGCTTCAGTGCTAGTGACTAGGTCTGGTTTGTAAATGTTGAGCCAGATTCTCTGGTGCACTAAGGCCACTTTCCACAGTGTCAAGCTATAACTTGAACAGTTGGTTACACCTATGAGTTGCTGTATCTGGCTTTACAGAAAGCTCACGGAACTGAAGTGTCACTGGCATGATCTTGGACATCAGGATTACACAAATGTGCAACACTTTTGTAAAGAGGTGGCATTCTATACAGAGCCTGTTTAAAATGTGCAGGATATCCTTTGAAGTTTTCCTTAGGGCAGCATGGCTATGTTAGAGGGGTTAAAAACTCACGCATAGTTATTGCTATACAAGAACAAAATCCGGTATCCTTCTAGTCCTACTAGTTAGAGTATCCTTCCTTTGATTAATGGCTATTGTTGGCTACTTCAGAGGAAAGCTCCAAAATGTGCCATAATACGCCACATGGAAGTTTTGTCTTAATCCCAATAGCTCTTACTATTTTTCACATAACTAGAATAACTATAGAGGTTATTCATTTTCCTGTCTAAGGTTCTTTTAACTTCGTAAAAAGCTACTCACTTCATTAATATCTTTCCAGCTGTGAGTTCCACAAGTTAAAATTCGCTCTGCTTTCCTGGAATTCACTGTGATGATGATTCATTAGAACATGTTGCTTGATGGGTAGCTGGCATAATAGCATCTCCTGCTACTTGACTCTGGGTTTTTTTAATTGGATGGGATAATTTCTTTTTCATTAACGCTTCCGTTGAATCCATTGTAGCAAAATTGATCAAACTGTCATAATTTTCCAATGTGGAAACAAGGAGTAAAAAGAGGAAATTGGCAGAATTATTTCAGGTACACAGAAATATCTATGTAATACATTCTAAGAGAGAACATTTGAAGTAAATTAGTCTAAGAAATACAAGTGAGGATTGAAGAGTCTGATATCAAAAAACAGGAAGATAGGGGCAACATGATGAACCAGATGGCCATTTCCTGTTTTGCAGAGAATTTCCAAATCTTGCAAACAGAGATTACAGTAATTGACATGCCAGGAAGGGCTGAAATGACCACAGAAATGCCTGGTAGGAGCTACGGGGAAAGTGTGGATTATAAGAAAAAGGGGTAAATTCCAGCCATGTTGGAGTTTCAGAAGAAAAAGTTCTGTAACTGGACGCAAATGCAAATATTTTACTAGATTGTCTAAATTATCCTTGTATCCTTTCAGGGCTTGGAGATTTTTCTTAGTAATGCACATAAATTTGTGTGGTTGAAGAAAAAAGGGCAGATTGAGTCAAATGGAAAATATGACTACTTTTGTTTAGTTTCTTTGATAGTAGGCATGAGAACCAGTGATGATGATGAGTTCATTACTGGGTTGGCAGTTCTTTCCTTCAGTCAGTCTTTCTACCTGATATGTTTGCCCTATTCTAAAAAGTTACAAGATAAAGTTTTGTCTAATAAGACCCAGCTTTGCTATCTTTACCCTCTGAAGAAGTCTAATTGAAGTCAGCAGGGCTATCCAAGTACTCAGGTTATTTGCTGTCTAATCTGTTGAGGCATTTATACCTAGCTAGTGTTGTAAGATTGTTTCCTGTTTCATTTGTTGCTGCGTCAGGTTGGTCATTTCTGTCCCTTTCCCTCTGTTATGTTTCTCTTTATTGTTTTACTTGTTAAGCTTGTTTCATGCCTTTTCTTGTTACTCTAGATTTTTCTTCAGTGAAAGTAGTTTGACATTCAGTGAGATTTTGGATTCTGTGCAGATGTTACCATCAGAAATTTTCAATGCATAAAAAGTTGGCACATGTTTATCTCATGCCACCTTATACTTTGTTGCTGTAAATATATTGACTTTGATTGTGTCATGCTTCAAAAATGCGCTGCTGCTGTCAATGTTGCAGGGGGAGGAGTGTGTGTATTCTTTCTTCAGATACCTATTATCATTTTGGATCAATGAGCTGAACAAAAATTAAGCCAGTCAAGTAAAGCAGAACCAACCCCAACTTGTCTGTGGAAGTTGTAAGCCCAAGAAATTCTCTTGTTGTTCTCTTGTGTAGCTAGGCTGTGTCTGTACTAAGGAAGGAAACTGTTTCGATTGTAAGCTCTTTTGGGGCAGGGACTATCTTTTTTTGTTCTTTGTTTGTACAGTGTCGACCAGTAATGTGGCATCAGCATAGTTGGCAAAAATCATAACACTACAGTTTAGGATTCCTGGAGCATTTATCCTACAGTGCTGAGCACTGATGTTGAGAACAGGGGATTTTGGGTAATGTTCACATGTGTGACATTGCATTATGGGTTGTGTAAGGAGGGTCAGTGCTTGTGGCCTCTTCTCAGCACTGAAGACAAACCATTAAGATTGCAAAAGATTAGCCAGACTTGAGCAAAAGATCTGCTCAGCAAGTCTCAGTGGTGCAGTCTTATTGGTTCCTCTTCAGTGTATAATCATATTAGTTATTTCAATAAGTAATGCTTGTAAAACCACTTGCTACAAGCTGTTTTGTTTGGACACAAGGCATTGAATAAGTGTTGCAAGCCTAAGGCATTCTGGTCAATAGCTTCTTGAACTCTTTTCTTCTTGTAGACAAGACTATACAGTAGCAGTACAGCATATTCCAAAATACTACTCTTGTTTTTTACTTTAATAGCTTTGTGAAAATTTTAACGTTTGTGTAATGCAGTACAGTTACAAACCAATTGTCAGTTGTACAATGCTTGGCGCTCTGTAAACAAGGAAAAGCGCATCGACAATAATTTGGTTTAATGTAATTATGTATAGTTTGTTTTCTATTATATGTAAATTAGGTAACAGTAGTAACTCCTGACTCATACACTCTTTGCTGTATCAAAGAAATAATTTAAAGACTATTTTGAAAGTTTACCTCTCCCCCGCATCCAAATAATTACATTTCTCTTTTCTTTTCTTTTTTTTTAAGCAACTGGAAGAAAAACTGAAAACACAGGCTGACTATGAAGAGGTTAAGAAAGAATTAAAGTAAGTGTTAAATGCTTACATAATTTCTTCACAAACCGTAGATTAACAATGCTTGTTAAATGAAGCCAAAAATCTGTGTTCTTGGAACAATCAAGAATAACTCAAAACCACAAAAAGCAAGGAAGTACAGTTTTGGCTCAAATTGCATTCAGAGCCCAGTACAATTGTTCATCTTCGAGAGATTGCTCATGTCGATTCCAAGTAGGTGTGCTCGTGCCGCATGCACATTCACTGGAAGGTTTACCCCCTAGTGGTACCCATCGGGTCGGCCATGGAGCCCCCTGGAGTCACACCTTCATGGCGCTGCCTCTTCAGTTCCTTCTTACCGCTAGTGACGGTCGTTGGAGCAGCTTCTCTCTTGCTAACAGCAAGCGATCCCCTAGTGGACTTTTTTCTCATTTTACCTGTAAATAGTTAAAAAAACGTAGTGTGTGTTAGTTCAAGCAGTTTAGTTAGATTTCGGTACATTTCAGTTGGGGGTTCCCCCTCCCAACCACGTTTCCCATCCCGGGGACCGGGGCATGCCGTGGTCCCAGGGTTTCAAACCGTGCAGGTCCTGTCTGAAGCCTATGCCAAAGGGAGATCCACATGACTCCTGTCTGAAGTGCTTGGGGGAAGCCCATCAAACGGACAAGTGTAAGAGCTGCAGAGACTTCTGCCCAAGGACCAAAAAGGAGAGGGACTTTAGGCTGAAACTATTTGTCATGGAGTCGGCCCTTTGTCCAAAGCCAGCACGGGTGGCGTCCGACCCCAGGGCCAGCACTTCGGTGCGAAGTGCACCAGCATCGGTAAGAGAGGCCGCAGCACCAAGAAAGGACTCAGGCTCCAGGGACCCTCGGCACCGCCATTCCCCGCCACCTAAGACCTCCTCTGATGCGAGTGTCCAGCACCTCTCCCATTCACTGGTGCCGCACTAGAGAAAGAAGACAGACAGAGGTCGCTTTCCCACTAAGGTGGTGGAGTGAGGAGGCACCAGCGGGGTATGTCTTGTCAGTGAGTTTGGAGACATGGGTCCCATCATCATTGACATCTGTAGTCTGGAAACCTGTGCCAGGGCAGGAGATGGGCATGCAGGCTGGCACTGAGGCCACTGTGTGACCTGGCACCAGAGCTGGTATCGAGATGTGCACAGTCCTGGAAACCAGCACCACTCCTGGCACTGCACAGGGCATTTTGGCACAAGAGGATCTGTGAACAAGAGGAAGATGCCCACGGGGGCACCAGGTCTTCCTGACCGTCATCTTCCCTGGATGAAATGATGTTGGGTACTTCCACCACTGCCTGTCAGGGACAAGAGCGCACATCAAGAGTTGCTCAAGAGGGTGGCTCAAAATTTGAGCATACAGACAGAGGAGGTGTTGGAGGAGACCGACCCTATGGTTGACATTCTGGTCCCTGAAGATCCCTCGAGGGTGGCTTTGTTCCTCATTAAGACTATCCATAACACCACTAAGGCATTGTGGCAAATGCCTGCCTCTCTTCCCCCACAGCGAAAGGGGTGGAGAGGAAATATTTTGTGGCCTCCAAAGTGTATGAGTATCTGTTTACTTATTCTCTGCCTGGGCACTCTGGTGCTGGAGGCTGCCAACCAAAAGGAAAGGCAGGGACAACCGGGGCTGACTCCTAAGTCCAAGGAGGTGAAGAAGCTGGATCTCTTCAGTAGGAAGGTGCATTCTACCAGGGGCTCCAGCTTTGCATTGCCAAGCAGCAGGCAGTCCTTAGCTGCTATAGCTTTAATTCCTGGAACATACTGTCCAAGTTTCAGGAACTGCTGCCGGCAGACTCCCGTTTGGAGTTTGCTCCTGTCCTGGAGGAAGGCAAGGTCATCACGAGGACCTTCTTACAGGCCTCCCTAGATTCGCTGAACTCAGCAACCAATACTGTGGCAACTGTGACAGCCATGAGAAGGAGCTCATGGCTTCAAGTGTTGGGACTCCTGCATGAGGTCCAATGGACTATTCAGGATTTGCCTTTTGACTATTTAGAGCTCTTCTCGGAGCAAACAGACACTAGGCTCCACAGCCTGAAAGACTCGCGGGCAACTCTGAAGTCCTTGAGGCTTCATTTGCCAGCCCCCTAAAGGAAGCAATTTAAGCTGCAGGAAGCGGGACAGGAGTAACAGACGGAGGTCCTCTCAGTCCTCCTCTAACCAGGGCCAAGGCTCAGTGAAGCAGCCCTCAGCCTCCAAGCCAAACTTTTGAAGGTGCGCCTGGGGGGCAGCGCACCAGTTCAGATCCCGGATCCTTCCGCTCCCTTTGTGAATCATCTGTCCCATTTCTACCATGCCTGGGCACATATCACGTCAGGCCAATGGGTCTTGAGCATGGTAGAATTGGGATGTTCTCTCCAATTCTGTTCCCTCCCGCCTTTCCACTCACCTTTCCCGTCCCTCTTCAGTGACCCTTCTCATGAGCAACTTCTAATGCAGGAGGTGCAAACGCTCCTATAATTCGGAGTGGTAGAGGAAGACCCTCTGTAGTTGCATAATTCACTAAAACCAACATTTTCAAAAGTGTCCACTAATTTTGGGCGCCTCTGACTCTGTGTCCCCAACTTTAGACACCTATAGCCTGATTTCCAGACTCTGATTGTGTTAATGTGGCACCCAGAATCAGTGGATACATCTTCAAATATTCGCCTAACCTTTCTGTGACTTAGATTCCCCTTCTGTAAAATGATAGTGCTTATTCTGAACTACCTCACACAGCTCTTCTGAAGATTAAATATTTCTAATATGCTTTATACATAAAAAGTGCTCTATAAGTTTTATGTCTGGCTCTTTCATGTATCTTAAGAAATACTGAACAATCAGTCTTCCCCATGCTGTAGAATGGAAGGTTATTAAAATGAAGAACTGCCTTTTAGGCTGTAGTGCATTGGTCAGAAAAATAATTTGTGCATATTTTTATATGCAAGCTGGTGTATTTTATATACAGTATTAGAACTGTTATGGTGATATCCCCTGTTTTGTTGCTTTGTTATAAGTTTCTCATTCCCTTCAAGCTTCACAGATAAATTTATATTGTTTCTGACAGCTTAAAATGTTATATCCTTATTAACCTTTAAGTTTATGCTCTAAACTGGCCTGGTGGGATTGTATATAGAATGAATTAGATGACGCTTGAGAAAATTTTCTTATCCAATAACTAGTTGGAATAGTTTTTCTGTATTCATTATCAGATTATATTACTGCAAGGAAAGTTGTTAAAGTTCTCACTTATAGTGTTCCTGGAGAGTAGGAAATTATAATGTTAAATGCTCATTAGTGGAACTGTTATGAAAGGAAGAAATAGAAAATAACTCATTTTTTCACCCTTTACAGTATACTGAAGTCCGTGGAATTTGCACCCTCTGAGGGCTCTGGTGCACAGGTACTGAATCTACTTTTGTTTTCTTAATCCTTTCTCCAGTTCAGTTAGTGAATATTATTTTTGTGTTATCTAGGGCAAGCACGAACAATTTCCTGTTGATCTGTAAACTACAGGCTCTTAAGTGTCCATAAAATATTGTGGTACACAAGTTGATCATTGGCTTCTCAAGCCTCTTCTTTTAAAGCTGAATTGAACATTTTTTGCCTGTTAATTACATTTCCTTCAAGTGGTCAAGGGCAAAGAATGACATTACAGGTGGTGTTTGAGTGAATAACCTGAATATTATAAAACTGAGTCTTTTTAAGATGCTGCATTGGCACACAATTAAATTGAAACTTGGATATTTATTGAACTAATAATCGGCTGAAAACCTTGTTCAGTAATTTTTAAATATTGAAAAGGCTTGGCTATACCATTCACAAAAGAAAACAAGCTGAGAACAGTGAGAAAGGAGTAGAAACTTCTAATACTCTAGTATATTAATCTCACTTAAGATCAAAGGTTATGAATTGGATTCCTGCTTCTGAAATCCAAACTGAATATCAATATACCACGTGTAAAAAGGATTACTTTTTAATGATCAAGGGTTAGATATTTAGTGGAAGGTAAATGGCCACTTTTTGTAACTGATTTAATTTATGATCATATGGTCTGTTTGCACTGAAACACACAGCATTTCAAGGAAGTATATAATGCCAGTGTACTGGAGTGGTCCAGGAAGAAGAAATATAATCTTAACTAATACTTCTTCAATTAAAACAGCTTTTTAGTTTTTCATTGGAAACGATACCAGCACAATTTAAAGACAAATAAAAAAGTAGGTAATAGTAACAAAATGATTAACAGAACACTTAAACAAACAAACACCGAGTTGATGAGTGATTTACATTGAAAATTAGGCAGCATAGCTGTTGAGTAGTATGTATAGGAATCTGAACATTCACATACATATATACACGATGAATTCTACAGCGTCAGTCATAGCAAAGGCAAGTGCTTTCTTCCTCCTCCTGAATTCTTTCACAATAGTTGAATGACCTTCTTAAATTGTTTAATACCTTCATGGCTAACCTGGAAGCAAACCTCATGTTTTGACTGTCTTTAGGATGCATCCAAACCACTGGAGGTGTTGCTGCTGGAGAAAAATCGCTCATTGCAGTCTGAGAACGCCACACTGCGTATCACTAATAGTGACCTGAGCGGTAGGTTGTGATTTTCTGCTGTGATACTTTACTATCTGGGGGGAAAAGGAGAGTGAATGTGAGATGAGAGAGTCCAAGCTAGTGTGTGACAGAAAGATTAATGGACAACAAGGACCTTGAATAATGTTTGATTTTGCCATTGTATGGGCTGGATAATAGAATAAAGACTTAAAGACCTGAGAGCTGCTCTGAAGGTTAGAAAAGAGAGGCATTGTAGGATGTACCAAATGGTAGCATTCAAGGCTGGTTTCAGTTTCGGTAACAAATTCAGCAGTGGCGCAAAAAGCTCTGTCCCCTCCCCCCCAACACACACAAATGTAAAGCCAAGTGTTTGCATGTAGAATACAATAATCCTCCTATCTAATATGCTTAGATATTTTCATGATCAGATCAGTTTAAAAAACAAATACTGAAATAGCTGTGTCTTTATTAGCTTTCCTAATGTGGGTATTTTACATTTTCTGTGCAAACTTTTTAAATGGTGGAGTCATGGAATTTCCAGAAACTTTAATGCTTATGGTTTTTGCTGCTGGTACAATTAAAAGTTGTCATTGGCACTGGGGTTTCCTACATTCTGAAATGTATATGACTTTAACTGAGCAATCTTTGTTGCATCCACTTAAACGTGATTTCTTTAATTAAATTGATTTGTTCCAAAATGTAAATGTTTGCTGCATTAGGTTCAGCCAAATCCACTGAGTAATGTCTTGAATAAGAGACGCTAAAGAAACTTGCTGTTTGTAATTGACTTTATATTAATTGTATAACTGCACTTCATGTAATTGTTTTAGTTTTAGAGTTTGTAAGGGGGATTCTCCAGGCTGCAACATACAAGAAAGGTGCAAACATGAAATGCATGTTGTTTGTTTTGGGGGCCTTGTTTGGCATATTAAAATTTAAATTAATAAAAAACAAACCACCACCTCATTGGCCCTTGTAAAAACTGCACTTTTTCCCTTTTGTGGGGCAAACTTTGCATTTTATCTTGGTTTTTCCCTTTTTAATCCCCCATAATGCATTATGTTTGACCTTCCTTGTAGGGTCAGCCAGGAGAAAAGGGAAAGACCAGCCTGAGAGTCAGCGTCCTGCAACCTTGCCGGCCTCCCCTTCTTCTCAGTTGCTCCGCAACACAGGGGAGCAGGCTTCCAATACTAATGGTACACACCAGTTCTCACCAACGGGTTTAAGTCAAGACTTTTTCAGCTCATCCTTGGCAAGCCCCAGCTTACCCCTGGCCTCCACAGGAAAATTTGCACTAAACTCTCTCCTCCAGCGACAGCTAATGCAGTCCTTCTACTCCAAGGCAATGCAGGAAGCAGGAAGCACAAGCATGATTTTTTCAACAGGTCCTTACAGCACAAACTCCATATCTTCCCAAAGTCCATTACAGCAAAGTCCGGATGTTAATGGCATGGCCCCATCTCCCAGCCAGTCAGAAAGCGCTGGGAGCATCTCCGAAGGCGAGGAGATAGACACAGCAGAAATTGCACGTCAGGTGAAAGAGCAATTGATCAAGCACAATATTGGACAGCGGATATTTGGACATTATGTCTTGGGACTGTCACAAGGGTCTGTGAGCGAGATACTAGCCCGGCCAAAGCCATGGAATAAACTGACTGTGAGAGGCAAGGAGCCATTTCACAAGATGAAGCAGTTCCTCTCAGATGAGCAGAACATCCTGGCGCTACGCAGCATCCAGGGTAGACAAAGAGGTAAGTTCTGTTTACTAACTGATTTAAACTTTGGTCTCTTGGACTATGAATATGCAAACCAGTGAAAACTTTTCTCCTGCTAGGCCGTTTGTGCAACAGAATTGTTTTTCACCTTACTGTTTTACAGAGCTACGGTGCAGGAACGTATGCTCTACAAAACATAACTTTTCTAAATCTAATTTTCAACTACATTGTTTTCCAGCAGTTACACAGTATAGTATGTTTGACACTGAGAAGCAGAGATTTTCTTTATACTCTGGACTGGATTGATTTTTGTTGGAAAGAGTGAAGAGCTGGTATATTAAAGCCTGTCTTAATTGAGAATAGCCTGATATTGGAATGAAACATTGAGTGAAAAGTAGCTCTCAAGAACATCAGCCACCACATCTACCTCCAAAATTATAGTAGGGATTATTTGCAGAGAACATATGTCTATTGTGCCCTTAGTAACTCTGGTGGCAATTTTTCCTGTGTGTCTTGAAAAAATTATATGGGTGATGCATAAGATCATTAGTTTCACAAAAAAAATTAACCCAGATTTTAAAGCAGCTTTGCTTATTTATGTAGAAAATCTTAAGAAGTAACATTCACTTTCATGTCAGTGTGATTAATTTTAAATAAACACTAAAGCTTGCATTTAAGAAAATGAAAAGAAAGCTGTTAAAAACCTAGAAATAGTTGAAAGAATAGGCAGCATTTCCACAGATGTTGTTTAAATGAAAACGAACGTCATTACATTTATAATTTGTTCTTCCCTTTGATGATTATACTTGGGAGGTTTATCTACTCATCTTTAGACATTTATTTATATCTATCTAACTTCTATTCTGTATATAGATGTAATTTTTATTAACAAATCAGTCAGCCTTACTTCTTTCAAAGTAGCCTGCTCCTCTAATGCTTGGACAAAGACTCAAAGGGTTTAGGAGAAGCTTGAACCCTTGTATTTAGTGATAGGCAGCTATCTTTTCATGTCACACAGCCCATGATGTCAGCACAATCATCCCCTGATTGTTTTATTCTTACCAAACTTGTTTTTCAACAGAGAATCCAGGCCAGAACCTGAACAGACTATTTCAGGAAGTACCGAAACGAAGAAATGGGTCTGAAGGTACGTCACAGGCAGGTGTTTTTCTTTGCAGTTAATATCTAGAAAATGGAGTGTGCTCTAGCTGTGCGTTTCCTTAAAGCTGTGCAGTTTGATTCTGGCCTGGAATCTGATGGAAAAACAGTAAGTATAAAACAAACCATGGGTTACAAGAACACTTCACTTTTTCTAATTCCACCACTACCATACTAACTTAACATGTTTTGGATACTGCCTCCATACCCCATCCAAATATGTATGTATATAAAAAGAGATAAGTGATAGAAGTGGCATTACAAATAATTAAAACTACTGAGATACTGTTTGGCTGTCTTCCTTGTGGCTTCCAAGCAAGAAAGTTACCCAATATTAAGTAATTCCTTCACAAATAGGTAAAAGTATTTCATCCGTACTACGGGTACTGTTCTGCTCCTAGGATTTTGATTACATGTTGACAAATACACTACAAGTTGCTCTTGAAATGGTGTAGAACTTACCTTAGCATAATATGTGAAAAAGCCTGGACAAAGCTTTCATTGAAGATCAGATCAGTAAACTACTAATTGAAGAAGTAGGAGCTGCTATTTAAGTATCAACTTTTTTGCCTTGTTTCAGACCAATGACAGAATTTTGCTTTTAGCAAGATGGCAAAATAAAAAAGAAAACCAACCCTAAAATATTTGTTTTGTTTCTGGTCGAAAATTATGTGGGCCCTGTTAGTGATATATGTAGATCATTTATAGAGCATTACTACATGATGAAAAATGCACTCAACAGAAGTAATCTTCAAAATCATTAGGAATTTTCTTTCTGTCTTTCTTTGCTTTAAAAACAAGAAATAAGCCTTTTATTGTTGGGGAATATCTTAAGGGTTATCAACACTTAAAAATGTATTTCTCCTATTGTTTTGACAACCTGGAGAGGTAAAATAAACTAGAATAAATATTGCGTTCTTATATCCAATGTTCTCTGTTTTAGATTCCAATCTGGAATAAAATGTACAGTGTACTCAGATCTCATACAGGGTCAAACCAGCTAATGTGATATTTTATAAGTGGTTCATGCCATCACATTTTTAGCTCCCCCGAAGAAGGGAATAGACTCAAGATTTTTTTTAAATTCCTGCTGGATAGTACAATTTGTGTAGTACTTGACACTGAGTACATGACCTACTGATTCTTCTACTATTTATATATTAAAGTTATCCCGTAGCTGCTGCTGAATGGTAATATACCGTGTATTTTCAAGCAGAGGAAATTTCTTGAAAAGAATGGAGTTTCCAGTACTAGTGAAGGTCAATAAATCTTAAAATCCTCCCAATGAGTGCTTACAAGCACCTCTGCAAACTGTTCTCGGAATGAATTGCAGGCGTTACACTCGGTGTTTGCTAAAAAGATTGCTTAACGTCCTTAGTTTCCTTCTACTCTTCAGGTAACATCACCACAAGAATCCGAACCACAGAGACTGGCTCTGATGAAGCCATCAAATCCATTCTAGAACAAGCCAAAAGGGAGCTGCAAGTACAGAAAACAGGTACAGGCTCACTTTGTCTCTTGTTCCTTTTACTTCAGAATTTAATTAAAACAATTATCATGAGCTTTCTGGTTAATTATGTTCTTAAAATCTTGAACATATTTTTGCAGAGCTGTTTCTTTGGAGTGAGGAGGGGTTCATGTACATAATATATATTAAGTTTTACTTTATATCCTTAAAAATAAAAGGAGTACTTGTGGCACCTTAGAGACTAACCAATTTATTTGAGCATAAGCTTTCATGAGCTACAGCTCACTGAGCTGTAGCTCATGAAAGCTTATGCTCAAATAAATTGGTTAGTCTCTAAGGTGCCACAAGTACTCCTTTTTTTTTTGCGAATACAGACTAACACGGCTGTTACTCTGAAACCCTTTATATCCTTAGTGCTAGATAGAACCTTTAGAAAAAGTCATAGAATCATAGAATATCAGGGTTGGAAGGGACTCAGGAGGTCATCTAGTCCAGCCCCCTGCTCAAAGCAGGACCAATCCCAAACTAAATCATCCCAGCCAGGGCTTTGTCAAGCCTGACCTTAAAAATATCTAAGGAAGGTCACAATTCCTCTCCTGCTCCTGCCTTGCCCTTCTTTTCCCCACATCTGACCAAACAGCAAAAGACCCACCATAGTTGATAATTTAATCCATTTTACTCCCCTGCATGCCTGTGTTGGGGCCAGTCATGAGCTAATCCTTAATTAGTATGTTCTCACCACACTATATTTCTCATGAATTGGGATTATAACACAATCATTCCTGAATCTGACTTTTACAGGGCTTTATTTCATGGTGTAAATTGTTCCTTGGAGCTTATTTGCTTTCCATTTTCTGATTTTAAAAATGCGCTTCAAAATGGTCATGCCAGTTCAAACAGTGTTTCCTTTTCCAATGCACATGTCCAGGTTATCTTCCCACTGTGTAATTTTCCATGCATTTGACAGCTATCAAAACTTTCTACCTAATTCTCCAATTCTGTATATCCACTTAAGGAGTTGGCACTGCACTAGAAAGTGCTTTGCATTAAATTTAATTTTATAAATAAATGTTGGTTTATTACTTTGGATATTCAGCTTTGAAATTAAAACAAATCACATGGCAAAAAATATCTGCAGGAGTAATGGAAAGATGTTTTTAATAAACAGAACAAGTTATTAGGTGTCTAAATGTGGAATAGATACAGTAATTTAAAACAGATTAATTACTATATTCTTCTGCAACACACTTCATATGAGGATCTCAAAGTGCTTTGCAGACATTAATTAATTAAGCCTAAAACTTCCTATGAGAGAAATAGTTAGCTAAAGCAAAAGAGGCATCCCTGTTAACTTTTTTCCCTTGTCCTTATTTCTGATTTATTTTGTGGGGCATGAAGGAGAAGGGACAGAGGGTAGCAGAATGAAAACATGCATAGCTGACTCACAGTATTATTATAGGATAATATCATAATTATATTAACCCTATTTATTTTCATTTATGGCCGCTTCTTGAAGTGCACAGCTCCTTTAGTCAGATCAGGTGCATCACATTGCCCAACCTCCATAATGGGATTTTTAAGCCTTGGAATTCATCTTCAACTCAGGTCTCAGTGGAGACTGCTATAAATCCAAATGCAGGACCACCCTACCAAATCTCCTGACCCTGCAGAAGAGTACACTGGACTCTCCTCTGGAATTTCAACCTCTGCTGCTGCATACGTTGGCTGAAGAAGGCCATATCAGCACTGATTCACCACTAAAACCCTTCAGTTGGACTCTGTGTCTCTTCTTTGATGCCCATTGGCTCTATACAGGGTAGAGATCAAGAGTTCTTCCTAGAGCTTCTGCTTGGCAATGCAGACCACTATGACTGGACATCACGCTTATTTTTGAAAGCTGTTGAATAATCGTGTTCTTTTTAGTGACATTTCATTCAGTGGTTTGGAAAAAGAGAGAGAGAAAGCTGAGTAGTCAGGGAAAGAAAGGAATTAAATTTGTTGTAAAAGTCCTTGAGTTTTCAAATTTCCAGTTCTGTTTTGGGTAGTAGAAGGATTAACCATACCAGATTATTTTTGTTGTAACAGGACACTAGCAGTGCAGCTGGATGACCTGGACTTTATTTGTGCATGATTCATTTGGAGGAGATAGAGAACCAAATGCTTAAGTAAATGTAGCTGGGACCATGAAGTGTTAATGTCACTTTTGGGGAAGTATACGTTTTGCAGGGGAGGGGAGAGGGAAATAGGGCCAGTTTTTCAAAGCTATATATTCGGAAATGTTTGCAACGCATATCAGTTATACATATGCAGTTTGTGTGTGTGTGTGCACATGTGTGGCTGCAAATATTTTCCAGGGCATAACTCTTGAAAATTATCTTCTTTGATTAGAGAAAATAAGATTTTATATATGTAAAAATGTACTGCAGACCGTCTATTCCCTCACAGGTTTGTTGGGAAAGATTTACAGTGACACTGATGTTAGAAGAATGTGTATATTATATAAAAAGTGTTACATTTCATCTTTGGTTTGTTTTCACAGCTGAGCCGGCTCAGCCACCTTCTGCATCTAGCAGTGGCAATTCTGATGAGGCCATTCGATCCATTCTGCAACAAGCCCGACGTGAAATGGAAGCACAGCAGGCTGCCCTTGAACCTGCCTTAAAAACAACACCTTTGTCTCAAGCCGACATTTCCATCTTGTCCCCAAAACTAATATCTACACCTGCAATGTCATCAGTTTCCAGTTATTCTCCACTGGCCTTGTCACTGAAGAAACATTCAGCTGTCATGGATTCTAATATATCTGCATTGCAGAACCTCTCTGGGCTAAAAAAGGAGCACCAAGAAACACCAGTTTTAGAGCTTCATGGAATAACTGATTCTGCACAGGGTGTGCTGAGGCATGTTAAAAATGAATTGGGACGTAGTAGTGTTTGGAAGGACCATTGGTGGAACACTGTTCAGCATGACAGAAGAAATACCACTCTTTCTGAAGATACAAAGGTCGAGGAAGCCAGCAGTGGAAAAGAAAAGGTCAGCAACCAGACAAGGTCAGATCGTAGCCAACTCCAAGGACCATCCTCTTCAGAATACTGGAAGGAGTGGCCAAATGCTGAATCTCCATATTCCCAGAGCTCTGAATTGAGCGTTACTGGGGCAAGCCGCAGTGAGACACCACAAAATAGCCCCCTTCCTTCCTCTCCTATTGTACCTATATCAAAGCCATCCAAACCCTCAGTTCCTCCATTGACACCTGAGCAGTATGAGATTTACATGTACCAGGAAGTGGATACAATAGAACTAACTCGTCAGGTCAAAGAAAAGCTAGCAAAGAATGGCATCTGCCAAAGGATCTTTGGGGAAAAGGTAAAGAACTGATTTTTCATTACACTAACACTTTAAACATGTAGTGCTATATTGTTATGCATGGGGATGGGAATCTGCCACATAAAGGCACAACATTTCTTTTTCATTCAATAGTTACAAAATACATTTACAAGTGAAAGGTATGAGTCGTGTCTTATGACATTGCACAGATTTTCTAGCTTCTAACTTCTATACGTAAAGCTTCTTCAATAGCTTACAGTACGAACACAAACCTAATTTCTTCTTTTCACAGTTCAGGGCAACTGCATGTGTATTCCCCCTCTGTGGTCCACCAAGAACACCCACTTAACAGTTTCTGGCTCCCAATCATCACCTCTTGGACACAGTTCCCGTACTTCGCTGTAATATTCTCAGCAAGCCAGGCTACCTAAACAGGCCAGGGTCTCCACTTTCCTTTCTCTGTAAAGGTTATGAACATATATATAATTGCCTGTAGTTACAAGTTACTACACAGCTCTTTATAATCAAGCACATTTATTCTTAAGATGCAAGCAATACAGAAAAAAAAAACATACTAAAACAGTAAAAGTTCCTATGTACTAACCAGAGGTCACCCATCAGTCTTATGAGGGCTTAGTAGGTCTGTCCCTGCTAACCCTTCCACAAAGATTGCCCTCCCACACGTAGACAGAAGGTCCTGAGTCAGTTTAAACTCAGGCTATTTATCAAAAAGTTCTTTCTTTGTCTGTTGGTCTCTGGGGAATCTAGTTTCAGCTATTATGTGCAAGCTTCCCCAGGAGACTTTACTTACCTATTGGGGTGGTGGGGAGGGGAAAATGACAATCTGGCTGATCGAATTCCTGGAGGAGCTGTGGTAGCCCTGTCCCGTGAAGCAGAACACAGTCATATATATAAACTATTCGTTTAAAACAAATGGACCCCAACAATATTGCATGTGGTTGTAATATCTGTCACACTCCTCAACTACGTTCATTTTAAGTTGGAACATATATTGAGACACTAATGCAGTGGTCCCCAAACTGTGGGGCAGCCTCAGCCCATTGCCACAGCCCCAACCTTGGCCCCTGGCCTCGGCTCCATTCCTGGCTCCAGATCCTCCTCCTGCCCCCCCAGCTGCAGCCCCAGTCTTAACCACCCCCCAGAGCTGCGGCTCTGGCTCCTGGGGGAACTGGGGTGTGTGGACTGGATAAGGGGGGGTGACCCTGAAAAGTTTGGGGACCACTGCGCTAAAGTGAACTCATGGACTATTTGAGTAATATCCTTGCAACAGATTTTTGTAAGTGAAGGTTAAGGGACTCCGGAAACCTGAAATTTCTTATTTAATATTTAAAAATAATATAAGGGGATTTGGAACTCTCTCTGCTCTTCAGTCTTATATTTTTAGTTAAGAATTCTTTATATAGTCATTGCTTAGCCCTTAAGTATCCAGCCTCCCAGTTAGCATTAGTATCTTTTTTTAAGTGAGCCCTTGGTGATGCATATACGTCTTGTATAATGTAGGATTCTGAAGCTACAACACTCAGAGTTCTAATGGTCTCAGATCTCATAGCTCAGCAGAGTCAGGTTGGGTCATTACTTGGATGGAAGACCACCAAGGGAACATCTAAAGCTACAAGAAGTGGTGTTGGTGATGCAGCAGGTGGCACTATTCCTTCTGATTTGGTACTGAATCTATGTCCCAGCAGGATACTAGGTACATTATGCTACTACAAGTACCATGTTTCAAATAGGTTGTAAAACTAAGAGCTTGACCACTTGGGGTCATTAGATATTCCATGGAGCTTTCCTAAAACAATGGATGTTAAACTCAAGTGTCCTGGCTGAATTCCAGGTCAGCTAATTACATTCTGCCTATCTACATTCCTCCTATAGTTTTAATTGTCTACACTTCCTCTCTTAAACTATTGTGTAGAGTTGCAGTTCATTGTTAAAGATGAGCTAACGTGTACAAAATGAAGCTGTTAAAGATTTAAGTGATTAGCACAATTGATGGGTAAATTTGAAAGTTTCAGGTATGTTTATTTTAAAACAAAATACATGAAAATCGTTTCCTGTTTTTATTTACCTGCTAGGACCAGGTCTCTGATTCTCCAGTTAGAACTGATGACATTACATTATACAGTGTGTTATGCAGCTCCCTGTGCTCTTGTAGGTGTTTTCTCCTGTAGGAAGAACACATACTCCTTCCTGAACTCAATATTTACACACACACATTTCCATTTACTTATAAAATGTGCATTTGTAACTGAAGGCTCCCCATGTGCTTTCTGGTTAATGATTAATATACATGTGACATTAGCAACATGCTGGTAGGAAGTATATCACAGAAGTTACCCACCCCGAAATAAAATGTGCTAATATGCCATTCTTGGTTGCTTCATTTCAGGTGTTGGGCCTATCTCAAGGGAGTGTCAGTGACATGCTCTCCAGGCCAAAGCCATGGAGTAAATTGACGCAAAAAGGCAGAGAACCATTTATTCGCATGCAACTCTGGTTGAATGGTGAGCTGGGACAGTGTGTCCTGCCTGCACAAGGACAGCAACAAGGACAAGGTAATTAAAATTCCACTATGTTGTTGGCATTGAAGGAGAGGAATTATTTTTAAATTGCAGTAAGCGAGAGTTTTTTCTTAAGTTAGCTCTGCCATTTGTGTAAGTAGAATTGCCCACCTCAACTTCACAACCTGTTGTTAAGGGACTCACTGGGATTTTACACAGAAGGATTAGTTTTCTGCTTAAGTCGTAAGCAGGAGATGATGAGTTACCAATTAAGATAATGGAGTTTATGAATAAATACAGCATATAAATCAAGCAACTTTGGATAAATGACTAGAAAAATGTGAAAGTTAAATTCAGTCACATTTTAATAGGAATTACTTGTTTCTAAAGTTCTCTGAAGAATTTTGATCCATGTAACCAGATAAAAGAATTAAGTTTTTAAAGAGGGAAGTGGTGGTTCTAATTCTGTTTTTTACCATTGTTTTTATTATACTGTTTAGAAGTATCAAATATCTAGTGGTTGTTTTTAGTAATTCCAAGGCAGATTTTGCCTTCACTTGGTTGTAACTGAGATCAACATTTGACTAATTGTTAAATCTATTTAGAATTGGAGTTATTGCCTTGTTTGGTGGATTGGGAGTCTCCTTTATTGTTCCCTGATTTTACTGTTCTCTCTTACTTAGTCCTCCTCTCGGTGACATCACTGCAGGATTCCCTACAGCAGGGATGTGCAAGCTCAGGTAATCAACTGGCTTCAAATGATTTGCTGTAAAGTAATTCACTACATTTTATTCTGTTTCTGCTGCCTTGATGCCCAAAGGATTCTTGTGTTTTGTTGTTATAGCATGCAGGAGCACCTTAAGGGTTTTTTATTAACAGTTAACTCCTCATCCCTCTGTGTTGCTATGGCAGATCTTGAAAATGCAAGCATTTAACAGAATACATTTGGCTGGAAGATTGTGATCTGAGATCATTCACACTGTATTTTTTTTTTTTACCATAGTATATCAATTTGAGAAGTAACAGTGGCTGTAAAACATAAGCGTTTCATTTGTAATATGATCTACATACCTCAGCTGCCTTATTTGTTGGTATATTTTTTTCACCCTCAGCTATGGTTTTAAACCAGCTTTCTAATTTAAAGTTGAGGAAGATTGCTAAATATGCAACTCACTCTCCCATCCCTTCACTAAAACATAACAGAGATGTGTGAAAAATGCAAGTGAATTGCTTAAAGATGTTTCTGAGGATGACCATTACAGTAGGGAGCCCAAGTATAAACCAGCTGTGTTCCTGCTGCTTGATACCAAATTCTACCCACGCACACTATGTAGCCAGTTATACAGTTAACTGATGTAAGCCATTTATACTGTATCCAGGCTAGAGAAATAATTGTATTCTGTGGTTTCAAGATGATCAGGTGCTATAAATGAGAGAATTACAGGAGTTCAGAATGGAAAGGAAGGACCTGTTAGGTTATCTTGTCCATCTCCTTGCAGTTGTAACACAGTACCTTTTGCTGATAATTTGTCCAGTTTAGGTAAAATGCCCTAAATAACAGGGTTTCCACCATTTCCCTTACTATGAGACTCTTACAGTGAGATGTATTAGGTTGTAAAACAGAAGCGTTTCATTTGTAATATGACCTACATACCTTAACTGCCTTATTTGTTGATATATTTTTTCACCCTCAGTTGTGGTTCAAAACTTATTTATTTCTCATATTGAGAAATTCTCTAAACTTTCCCCAGGAGTTAGATGAAAATGGACTGAATACAGGCAAAATGTCAGAGTTAAAATCAACCATGAAAATAAAATCTTCATGAATAAAATGAGGAACAGTCTTTGCAATCACAGAGCTATTGTTACTTACAAGTATTTAAAGAACGTAAATTTCCTGAGGCATTTTTACACTGCTGCTCATGAAAGTATGCAATATCTACTTTTCTGTAGCATTCATCTGACACAAGTCACAATTCTAATTTAAAAATATATATAAACACTTAAGAAAACATAGAAAATATCATAAATAATACATTTAATAGGTCATTTAAAAATAGTAGGGTTTCAAATGGGAGGGAAGGGGAAAAGGCTATATTTTTATTATTAATAATTTTTCTGGTCCCTAACAGTAATTAAGAAAGGGTTGAAATACTGACCTACAGTATTGCAGTCTGATCAACTCATGGGTTCCCAGGAGGATAGCTAGTAGCTAACGGTTATTTCCTTCAGGAAGTTTAGATGAGTTAGTGTGAGGTTCTGCTCCACTGCTACACATCCCCACCTAGTCTGTCAGTTACAGTCCTTGAGCTAATATTTTGCAAAGTGCTAAGTTTTTATTACCTGATTGGAGCATATTATTGATTACCACCCTTTATTCTTGCCTTAAAGGTGACCTGCAAATAAGGAAAAAGATGGGATTGTGTCCATGGCTTTCTTTTTATGATTAAAAATAAACACATGAATAAAATTGTTTATTTTTAGAATTAGAAGTTCATTTCTTGTTTTCCCTTTTATATTTGTAGAACTAATAGGCTTATCACATCACAGATAACAAGAGAGTAAAGCATGATCAGTTGAGAGGAGAAGGGTAATCTGATCGTTTTTGTTGCCTCCTATATTTTAATTCAAATGCGTGGCAAACAGTTGGTAGAAAAGCTGTGTTTGTGAAAGATTCAGTATCCCACCCCTCTACTTGAGGGCTGTAAATGCTCCAACTCTAATTTGATTGTCCTTCAAGGAGTTTTCCAGCAAAACCAATGAAGGCAAGACATATCTAAAGAAAAAATCAAGGAGAATGTAACTTTTTTTTAACATTCAGGACTTTTCTGTATGATATAAGATCATAAATCTACATGTTTGTATATGATAAATAAACAAAAAAGGGTCCAAACCTTTAACACATTTAAGTATTTGCAAGAATAGCCTCTGATACCAAAATATAATCGGATACTCTTCTGTATTCTGTGTCTGTGAGCTTTAAGCATCAGTCTAGTAATCAGAAGATCCTTGCACAAGTTCTGCTGAATGCATTTTACACGCAAATTGTATCTATACTTCCAGTGGTGAAAAAGAAATTCAGTATGTTATTTCTAACATTTTCTTAATGTATCTTTCTACCTTTGCCTTTGGGTAAATCTGTCTTTTTAATGAGGTATGTGTCAACAACATGGACCAAATCATATGGAAAAAAAATTCAGAATTAATGTCACCCAACTGCATCAGCATGTTTCTTCTTTTTCTTAATGAATTTGGCCCTTATTTAGGTGCATTTTTGTTGGTCAAAGATAGATTAGTATTAGAGAGTTGCAATAAATATTAGGACATGTATATGGTTGAGTGTTTTGAACACTTGTATTGTATGTAGCTCCTGTATTGGTTTTATTTGGATTGCTTTCTTTACTGAGTGTCTGTAAAACTTTACCAACTAAAGATACCATGGTCTTATGTACCAATTCTGGTGATTATCTTGATATTCCCAAGAATGTTGAATTTTTAATTCACTTCTGTATTTATCCTTTGTGAAGGTCATATAGTGTCCATATACTACATTAAAGATTTGCATGTCTTTTTGGTATGTGTTTCTGTTAGGGTCTTCGTATGACCTAATGTGGAAATCTTCGTTTGTCAGTACAGCTGCGGGTGATCTCAGGGGATTTTGAATTTCCCTTTTGTTTGTCTTCCTTTCTGGGTATCATCCATCATTCCTAACTTCATGCTGTTTAGCAGTAGTAATGCTCATGGGAATTGAAGAAAGGATTATAGCTGCATAAAATGGGGAGCTAATCAAAGCTTGTTTTTTAAATCAAAATCTTGCTTGAGATAATTGAGTATCACCTAGTGATTTAAAAACCAAAGATTTACTGTATTTAGATCTACTGAAATATTACATAAAACCTTTCCTTTCAAAATAAAAAAAATTGTAACAACAAGGGATGATTAATCTTTATCATCCCTTAGGAAAGAAGTATGGAAAAATCCAAAGACGAGTACAAAGTTTACTCCAGATCTGATGATAGTTCTTGCATTGCAGAATGACAGGAAAGCCAAATATCTCATCTGTCTATCTCTATTCATACCATGCTCATCACTGTGTTATCTTTCAATAACAAAGGCTAACAGGTAGTTAATTGTGGATTGGGTCAATCTCCCTATTACGCAGCAACAGAGTTATTAGATATTGTTTACGGTCTTGTTCTAATTACTGTTGTGGGAAAACTAAGGCAAAGATATGAGTGTTACTCTTTTGTTCTGGAAGTAGTGAGATTCTGATTTCTTGAGGAAAGGAGTTTGATAGCCTCAAGCGGGACATGAAAAAAACTCTGTGCCCTTTCTCATGATTCTTACCTTTATTGTGCATGGCTTTATAGTTCCAGAGGAGCACAACTGTTATAGGAGGTGTTCCAGTAGGTAGCTCAGACCAATCTATTGAGAACATCTATAGTTAGACCCATGTGCTAATGTACATGGACATCAGTTCCTCTGCTCCTGAGTCCATTCCAAATTTGGATTTTTTTATCTGTGAAACAGGCTAATATCTCCTTGTAGCAAGAGATACTGGGTTCTGTGAGAATGCATTCTCGGTTAACAAAGTTGTTTATGGTTTGAAATGGTTCTGATGAATATGACTTTATGGCCAATAAAATGGAGAAGAAAGGGGGATCTCTTGACGTAAGAGTCATAAGACTAATGACAGGTTTCAGAATAGCAGGCGTGAATTCCTTACACAAGTAGGTTAAATTCAATTACTTATTTTAAACTTTGGTTAAAGAGGGTAATAAAAATATAAATGCCATCTCTTATCAGTGTGAGCCAGATCAGAATAGAATTTTTTAGTTAGTTCCTCAGAGTGTATGGATAACTCAACAGACTCAAGCCTCTTGTGCTAACTCTAAAATGTAATTTTAATAGGCAAATTGGTTAAGTTTCCACATCATTTGTGCATACTGAGTTTGCAGCTCTAAAGTAATTGGCCCCAGTTTGTGTTGATTTCAAGCTGTGTTGATTTCAACTGGCACCTCACAAGGGCAGCTGCTATAGTCTGTCTAATGTGTATGATTAAATTCTGTGCTATTTCCCTGATAATTTGGACCGTGACAACGTTCCTGGTAACTTTTCTAGTATCAATAAAGCGAGGAGAATCACTATCCAATGCACTTTATTGGGATCTTGAAATGCAGTGCAAAGTTGGAATTAAAGTTGACTCTTAATATAACATGGACAGCATTGCTAGAACATTAGTTTAATTTGTTTCTTTTCTAGAATTCTTCTTTTAGTCACAATCTGTTTTGCGTGCCTATCGCTCTGTGTGTGTGTATTATTGATGCTTAGTAAATAATTGATTTTATTGAAACTCTACCTGCTATTCTTTTTCAAAGACCCTTTAGCATAAGAGATGTCTTTATCATACAAGTGTTGATCTTTTTTTATGCATGTTAACCTAGAATTTCACCTGTTAAAACCCTTTCCCACTCATTTTTATTTTGAGTCCACATACACTAGGTAAACAATGATCAAAACTTCTGCAACACAATTCCCTCCTCACTGTGGTCCTTACCTTACAGGTATAAAAGTGTGTTTGGCATTATAAAATCTGTAATTATGAGCACCAACATTATAAGGAAAGATTCATTGTAGATGTAATGTAGTAACTTGGTGACAACACTCTTTCCCTATTTAAATGGAGGAAAGGGAACTCGTGCAATACCCTGAAGCTGATCTTAATTTATTTTAAATAGTG